TCGCACGCACGCACGCACGCACGCACGCACGCACGCACGCACGCACGCACGCACGCACGCACGCACGCTACGCACGCACGCACGCACGCACACACGCACACACACACACACACACATATGCTCGTATATCGTTACTATAGTATAAGATAAAATGTTTTATATTCTTGTATTGATTACAATGATTACATGAATATAATAAATAAAAATATTTATGCAGACACGTGATTTTTATATATTAGACACATACAAATACAATAATAATATTTGATTTTATTGACAAATTTAATTACATACTGGCAGTAATTTTTTATATCAAATCTTTTGTATGGAGAGCGCGTGTATTTAACATCGTTTATTTATACTGTTTTTAAAAAAAGTAATTTTGTCAAACTATTAATATCTAAAAAGCAGTATATATAAAAGTTATTTTAAAAAACCGATTTTCAAATCTTAACTTTAAAAATAAATATCTTGATGTCGTAGAAAAAATAAAAATATTAAAATAGTTATCAAAAAAAATCACTAATTTACGATATTTTTTATTTTATGTCAAAATATGCTAGAATAAAGTATAAAATAAACAATAAATTTTTTAATAACTTCAATACTTTTGTATGCGGAATAACTATAAGAATTATATTATGTAAAAAAAATCAACTCCATTAAAAAAAAAATAAATATAACTTAGATCTCTTCAAAGCTACTCTACAAAAAAGCGTTATCACCCCGCCTCCTTCCCGCCCCATAATACGACCGTTTTCGTATACTAAATTAATTTCAGTTTATAGATAAAGTTTTTTTTACTCCCAATAATTATCAAGATAGAATTATTGTCTCATTCAGTATATTTAATCTTATTTTTTTATAAATATTATTCCGTAAAATCAAGAAAAATAAACATTTTAAGCATATTTAAGCATGATAAAGAATTAAATACAATATTACCTGTCTAGATGAAAAGAAGCAATTTCAGCGGTATGCCTCTCGAAGTCTGTGAAGTAGAAATGGTTTGGCAGAGTCTGTTGTTCTCGTGGAAACCTGCAATCAAAAATAACTTGTTTATTATTATAATGAAAAGAACATACATAAAAAAGAATAGGATTAAATAAGATAGTATACTTTATAATTTTTTAATTGATGAATGATATTAAAGGAACTAAACAATATTAAAATGGACTAAATTAGGCTTTAATTTAAAATATTTTTATTGTTATGTTGTTATGATTTTAAGAAGGTTAGAAGAAAAATATACATATAATGATCTTGAAATATAAGTCTATATAATTATGGAAGACTATGAACGAAACTTGCGTGTGTTTTATTGCGGGTATTATCCGAAATTGCTATATTGCAGAATTAAAGTGAATTGCGGTATTAGTCGATCGATATCTATCGCGTGACTTTGAGACCGTTCTGTTTATTTGCGTAACGCAGTAACTATATTTATTACTATGTTTATAAGATTTCAATTTCTGTTAAATTTCATATTACGTAATTTGCTGTTTTATACAAACAAAATTTTTGTTTTTTTAGAACATAACATTTTTATAAAAGAAAAATATAAATGTAAGAGATCTGTAAAATCTTTGTTTTAAAAAATGATAAATCTTTCTTTAAATGTATTATAAAATAGTTATATTATTTATTAACTACATACCTCATTTCTACTAATAATTTGCTATACATTCTATATTGCATGATTATTCATTTAATAGATGAATTAATATAATTAAACAATATATGTACACACACCACATGCACGCATCAGTATCCTAATGAAATACTTATTATAAATGTTCGTTATCATTATTTGATAATTACATTATATCATGCTTTCTAATATACCTAAACTTAAATAAAAACATTACTAATATTAAAACTAATAATAATATGTGAAATCTCAATTGAATCAAATAAGAATAATATTGTTATATGTGTGTGTGTATATATATATA